TGATCAGATCGGTTTCCGGAGAAGTTGGAAGTGCAGACGTTGTGGCGGGATTTCACGGTCCGCCAACACCCTGAAGCGCCACACCGGTGCGAAGTGCCCGCGTGCTAATTTGGGGGTGATCCAGAACCGGCTGAGAGCCCTTAAGAAGCTGGAGCGCAAGGTGGCAGGCACCAACAAAACGGGGTTTTCCGAAAGCCCAGCTGCAAGAGATCTTCCAGACGGCCCGTCGCACCATCGAGGAGCAACCTTCTGAGCCTTCGTCTCGCTTCTGACTTGCAATGTGACCAGGCGGGGCGCCACCTCCCTTGAGGCGGTTGCCTCGATGCTGCGTGCACAGGACGTCGCTGTTGCTGCCCTTCAGGAAGCTGACATCAACCGTGCCACGGCCCCTGGATTTGCCGCTGCCTGGCGCCGACATGGGTTCCACACTGCCCTGGGACCCTGTGGTCACAGAGGCCTGCACCGTGTTGCTTTGGTTTCCGGCCTTCCGATGCAGCCCGTCGATCTGAGTATGGACGTGCATTGTGATCGTGCTGCGGCAGGCCTGGTCTCCATGCCTTTGGGAGCCCGGCGGGTCTCTGTGTTGGTGGCCTCTTTCTATGGTTTTCCTTTGGACTTGGCTCGCACCAACGAGGCCTTCGATGCTTTGATGAAGGCGATCGCCGTGTTCGGCGGGCCGTTTATCATCCTAGGCGATTACAACTGCACCCAGGCGGAAGGTCTCGTGGCCACTACGCTTAGTGCCTTGGCGGTTCGGGCGGCTGATGAGTCGTGCCTTGTGGAGCCGCCGTGCACCAACCCTGCCAACACTCGCCGCATTGATTATGCCCTCACCCACCCTGACTTGGTGGCTGTTGGTGGGCATACTTTTCGGCAGGCCGAGCTTTCGGATCACGGGATTGCGCGGGTGGATTTTGGGGGACAAAGCTTCCAACCTTCCTGGCAACGACCTCGGTTTGCTGACCCCACCAGGCTGAGACCCGAAGCGGAGGCCACAACAAGTTTCCCGCGTGCTGAGTTGGACTTGCTGCTGTCTGCGTCCCGCTTGGATTCGGCGTGGGCGCTGCTTTCGGATTGGGCGGAAGCCTATACCTTGGAATTCCCGATGCCGGGTGCCGACGGAGCCAGCCTTGGCAACCTCAGCCGAAAGCGTTGCCCTGCGGGGCTCCCACGTGCAATGGGCACGAGCCTCGCCCTCTCAGAGACTTGCGGCAGCTGGCCCGCCGCCTTGAACAGCTCCTGCAGGAGCCTTGGAATTCTGCGTTGCATGGGCGGCTGTGTCGCTCCTTGGGGCACGTGCGCGCTCAGGTGCCGGACCTGCCTTTCATTGACCCCGCTGACCCTGCTCAGGCCTTGCCACAGGTGAAGGCGTTCATCGAGGCGCATCGGATGGCCCATCGAACGTCTTGCCTTGATAAGTGGAAGCAGAAGATGCAGGAAGCGCCGGAGCGCGCCATCAAGTGGATCAAGCGTCGTGCCGAATTGGACTTGGCACTGCAGCTGCCTCCTGCCTTGGAGGAGGCGAGCACTGGCACGATACACCCGGCCGATCGGCTGCAGGAGCAAGGGGAGCTCTGGATTCGGAGGTGGCAAACCCCTGCCACCACCGCTGACATCCCGGCTTTCCGCCGGTTACTGCGCGACCTTCCCTCGCATGCCCAGGTGGAGCTGGACTTAGTTCCAACGACTCAAGAGCTCAAGAGCGCGATGGGGAAAATGAGATCCAAAGCGCCGGGGGCTGATGGATGGAAGGCCCACATGCTGTTAGGCTTGCCGGCAGAGTGGTGGAGCGGCTTTCAGAGCCTTTGGGCCACCGTCATCACCGAAGGGCAAGTGCCCAGCCTATGGAGGCGATCGTTGATCGTCCTTTTGTCCAAGCGGAACCACGCGACGCGCCCGGTGGCTTTGCTGCCTATGGCGTGGAGAGCAGGAGCCCGAGCCGTGGCTAGGCGGCTAAAGGGGTGGGTTGTGTCCTGGAACGGCGCGAGAGCTTGTGGCGCGGCTCCTGGGCGGAGCGTGGCAAACGTTCACGCCAGGATCCTTCAAGCGTGGCAGCTGGGAACACGTTCGTTCATCCAACAGGATCTCAGCTCCTTTTTCGATAGCCTCAGCATGCCTGCCATCACCGAAACGCTGAGCCACCTTGGCGCTCCCACCGCTTTGGCCCCGCTGCTTGCGAACTTCTACTCTCAGCAGTTCCGCTTGTTTACCATAGATGGGCATACCTCGCCGTGCTGGAGGGCGGCTCATGTTGGGTTGCTTCAGGGGTGTCCTTTGAGCCCGCTGCTTAGTCTTTGCGTGGGGCATCTCTGGACACAGCATGTGTCCCACACGGTGGAGTCTGGCATCTTCATCGATGACCGTGTGCTGTGGTTTCCTGAGGGTGCCCCTGCCACGGACGTGGCTGCTAGGCAGGCCCTGCAAAGGAGCGACGACTTCGATGCCGCGGCGGGTTTGACCTGCTCCCGTAGCAAGTGCCATCTTGTGACGGTGGATCCTGCATCCCCGTGGGCTGCGGTGGCCAATGCACGGGGCTACACGGTAGTGCCGACGCTGCAGTTCCTGGGAATCGAGCTGGTGCTGGACACTGGCGCAGCGAGCCCGCTCCGGCTCTGTTTGCGTAAACTGCAGGCGCGCCTCAGGCATGCTACAAACCCGGCCTTCAGCCTCGGAGTGAAGTTTCAGGTCATACGTGCCTTGGTCTTCCCGGCCCTGTTTTGGGCGGCTGGGGTGGCTTTGCCCGACGTGGAGGTGCTGTGTGCCATCAAGCTTGGTGTGAGCCATGCCCTGCAAGCCGTGCTGACCTTCGAGGCACCTCGGGTACTGATCGGCCAGGTTCTGGGCTGGTGTCTTGACCCTTTCTGGATGGCGGACTGGGGCTCCTTAGCAGCCTTAACTCGTGCGATGACGCGTGCCTCTGACGGGCCGGAAGAGGACAACCTGAGCAGCCTGCGGGTGTCACGGGTTGCGGGGTGCCCGGCCGCGCTGCAGACCGTCCAGCGCCTGGGCTGGGACTTCAATGCAGCGCGAAAGCAATTGCAGCGCACCGATGACCGGGGCGTCACCCGCGTGTTCAGGTTTGGAGAGGACTCCTGTCAGGTCCTCAAGCGATGGCTCACTGAGGCCTACGTGCTCCAGACAGCCCGTGCCTGTGGGCGCGTGACCAAGCGACAGCACCGGGACAACCCTAACGTAGCGTCGGGTTTAGACCTTCCCCCTCCCGCGGCCCACCTCCGGTTTGCTTTCTTGGGCCACGGCCAGGTCTTCAAAACTGCGAGCACCACGGCGACCAAGCGGGCCTGCTTGGTCACAGGTGGCACAGCTTGGCACTTTGGGAAGAAACGTGGGACTGCGGATCCTACCTGCTTGTGTGGGAGACCATGGCCGTCGAGAGCTCACCTTCTGTGGGCCTGTGAGGAGTTAGGTGAGGAAAGGGCCCAACTGGCCCCGCCGATCGACAGAGTGGAGGAGCGTGTCCTGGGCCATCCGGTGTCTGAACACCCGGGACCGCCTTTGGGGATCGTTCCCTGCCGAGAGGACCTTCTCCAGCTTCTTGAGGAAGCAGTGACGGCCGGGATCCAGACGCTTACCTTGGCAACTGACGGTTCAAGCCTGGAAGGCGTTGGCAGCTACGCTGTCGTCTGTGGCAACCCGATGGTTTCTGGAGCTGATGAAGGCGAAGATCAGTCTCCCTTCCGGATGGAGCTCAAGGCGTTGGACGAGCTGCTTGCTGCGATGGTCGCGGCCCCCCGGCTGCCGCCAAGCGCGGCGATCCTCGTGGACTGTGAGGCGGCGATCAAAGCTGTGAACTGCCCTGCCAAGAGCTCCCTGAGCAACCTGGCAGGCCGAGCTCACGCCAATGGCCGTCTTCTGCGTGAACGTGGCTTCCGCTGGACTCTGGTTTGGGTCCCCAGTCATGAGAAGCAGCCCTCATGGCGTCCGCCACCGTGGATGCTGACATCGGCAGGGGAATGCCGTCGCTTGAACCGGGCGGCAGACGAAGAGGCTCACGGACTCTGCAAACGTAGGCACCGTGGCTCGCGGCGTGCTCAGTGGGAGACGGAGGTCAAGGTGGCGAGAGACGTCGAGACCGCCCGGATCCGCGCGCTCAGTCGCGTTACCGAGATCTTGGAGGATCACATGTGTACAGGTCGGCCTCGTGTCCCCGGGGCTGACTTCATCGAAGATGATGTATAGAACAGCGGCTCTGGCCCACACGTGCAGACCGTCGTGGGACCCTCGGGCCCACGGACGCAAGGAACCCTGAATAAAATAAAAAGTATGAGTCGGTCGGTGAGACGGTGAGACCGTTTTCACAAATAGGCATTCCGTGGTTGAACAACTTGCCACGAGGACGGAGATGGCGAGAACGAGGCCAGGGACTGTCGGTGGTGTATTTGAGTCTCCCTGGTGTCCCCGATGATTCTGAGTGTTAGCAGGGGTTGATGCAAGCGGTCCTTTTAATCTGCGTGGCAACAGATGGAAGGCATCATGAGCTCTACCAAGACGGAACCCTCGCGTCCGAGCAACAAGGCCCGCGATGGCGCGAGTGAAACCGGTGCCTGTGCATGAGCTCGGCCACCCACGGAGTGTTGATCGAGCATGTCTTTCCTGCACGTTTCTGCAGAGCTCTGGCCGATTGCGATTTCGAGCTAGCGCACCTGCAGCAGGATCGGCCAGTGCTTGCTTTTGCCATGTTCACGAGTCTTTGCTGCTTGCGAGACATCTTTTAAGTTAGATACTTGACAGTGTGATTCCTTGCCGAAGGCAAGAGGATGCATGTCTGGTTTTTTGTTTTCCACATGCATGACACAAATTAATTAGCTCCTAGATCCGTAGACATACAGACAACCATTTAGGCATCTTTAATGTATAGATAGACTCTAGACTCCCCAGCCGCTGGGCAGCTTCAAAACAATCACGCATCTAGGCCTTCGTCAAAACCTGATGTGTCCGCAGTGACTCTGGCAGAAGAAGCATGACGGCCGTGGCTGCAAGAGGCCTGCAAAAAGCATGAACAGTTCGCGGCACTGAAGAGCAGCACTGCTGGAGCCCAAGCTTCATGGACCTCCGGGCCATGTGGAGACAATCATGGACAATCGGTGCTCACTGCTCAAGGCCACACCAATTGGTCAGGACCTCAGATTTGCCTCAGCATGCCTGCGTTTCTCTCCGCGAGCTAGGCTGGGCGGACCAGCCACTTCAAAAAGCCAGGGACGATGTCGATCGTGACACCACGGCACAGTCCCAAATGTGCCAGTTTCTGCATCGCTGCGCGATGGCTGGTAACATATGGTTAGCCTCGCTAGCTTCGAGAGATCTCAGGTCGTGAGTTTTGCTGCGGGTGATGCTGTGGGTCAGTGCGAGCCTTGGTGTCGGGGGCACGTCCGACCTCCTCGGACCTACAAAGTCTTGGGCCCAGGTTTGTTCGAGACAAGGTTTGTGTGGGCTCAGCATGCGCCTACGCAGATTTCGTCGAGATGACAGAGGAGTCGGCAACTTGGTGACTTGGTGCCTCAGTTTCTGCAAAGACTGTGGACCTGTGCCTACTGGTGCTAGAAACTTGTGTGCGAGTCTCGCAGGCATCGCGCGTTACGATACCTTCTCAGCAAAGCAAGCGTCATCGCTTCCACCATCAGCTGGATGACTCTGTGATTCTGTATCAGATTCCCACGAAGATTCTTTGCGACGTCTCGCAAAACGGCCTAGCAGGCAATGATGTCAATCCTGATTCTTCCCCGGGGGCCGGGCACGATGCCGATCGATTCAGGTCATCTCTGCCTTGCATGCGTATGCTGTGATCCGCCGGAAGAAGTGTCGGATGGAAACACCGAAGATGCAAACTCCACGTGTAGTCGGCTTCTCTCTCGAAGGTCCGTCCTCTTGACTCCTTCCCATCTTTGCCCTCGGGTGGACTCAATCCGGATCGCCCNNCCCCCCCCCCCCCCCCCCAGTGTTCAACAAGGAAGATCTTGAGAATTTCTGATCATGTTTTTTCTGGAGCGATTTGTCTTGGAGCCCACAACGGTGTTGGATGAAATTGTTGTATCCATGGCTCACACCAACTCTGCGATTCCTGAGCGCACGGCTGGATCATGACACCGCCCTATCTGGCCGCTACGACCGTTTCGGTAAAGATTCTTAGTCGTGCCTTGCGACGATTGAAGCAGAGAGTAATCACAGCCATTACAGGGCTTTCCTCCTGGCTGTGAAGCTAGCGGGAAAGACCGGTGCTGCTGGGGAAGCCTGCGACAGTCAATGTGCTTGGTCTACCAAGTCGGATGCGCTTGTCATTCAAGTTGCTACTCCTCGTGAGACATGCTTCAAGCTTCGTCATTGTCACTGTAGGCTTGGCTTTCAGTAAGGTCGAAGGATCCCTTTGAGTCGGCGGAATGGGACGGAGTCTTCGGCCTGGCTCAGGCCCGCCGGCACAAAAACGCGTGACAGTGACAAGCTCATGCCAACGCTTCAGCCTTCGGTGTGAAGACTCCTTCTGCTCATGCAGCCCGGATGTCGGCTGGCACCCTGCAAGTCCCTGAGCGACCATGTGGAATTCAACATCGTGCAGAACCTCTTAAAAGGACAGTCATGGCAGCTCCGATTCACTCATGGCTTGGTTTTACGATGTCTCGCATCAGGAGGTCTGAGCAGCGGTACCATGAAAAAGCCAGTATTTGCAGTGTACCTCGGGCCGTGGACTCAGACTGCGACCTATCTCCGACTGCAACTCCCAACTGTAGCCTTGCTCGGAGGCGTCAAGTTGAGGATGATGCTGAAATTACCTTTGGGGATTACCACGAGAATCGCATGGCGTCGGGACCCCTGCAGCAATCAGAGCAGAGTCTGCAGACCGCCTCTGAAGATGAGGTCTGCGTTACAGTGGGTCAATGTGTCTCAAGAAGGCCTGACTATGCGGAGATGCAGAGCTGGTCACTTTCAAGAAGCTGCGGCTTGAACTCAAAAGTCGGCTTCAGGCTACTGGCAGTTTCAGTTTGATGACATTACAGTCGATGGAAAGCCCACTGGGCTTTGTGCCTTGGGCTGCGTTTGTAGGAACCCAGCTGCGACTTTCAAAGCTGCCGCATGCCAGGCGCAAGGCATGGAGAGCGGCGTTGCCAGGGTGTCCTGGACACTGGAAGCTCACTCCTGCGCGGAGCTTACATACGCACATCCTCGTACGACTAAAGCAGACTCGAACATGGGTGGTTGGCATGGTCATGGTGCAAACCGAAATCGTATGAAGACCGCAGGATGGGCCCGAAAAAGGATCTGGATGCCATCCTCGAGTTGCTGACGTTCCAGGCTTCAAGACGAGCGCATCAACTTCCCCTTTGCTTCCCGACGGCCCACCATGTTACAAAGAACAATGCTTGATCGCAGTATTAGTCTAGCGAATATTCCATTTCCTCGCGTCGCACGGTTCGTTCTGGCATCTTGCCTGCTGCAAATTCGCTTCGAAATGCCCATAGAAGGCGGGAATACCCGGTAGAAGTAGCCGTCAGTGGTCAGAGGAAAATGACGGTCAGCCCAAACGGAAGACTCATTTTTCACAGTATACCGCTGTGGAAGGGTGGAACCCAGATGCCGTGTGCCGCATCAGCGCGCTTCCCCAAGCTGGGCTTTCAGCCTGACACTCAGTCATGCCAGATGTGAGATGCAGCACGTCAGGTCGCACTTTCAAAACATATGTCATGGCACCAGGATTGGCACACACGCTTTCGAGATGGAGGCAGATGAGTACATGGATCGATCCGATCCGGAGCACTCCGATCCTGGGTTGAACCGCATGTTTTCTGGACCAGGGGACCAAGGGCCTTGCCGACCACCTGTTGAGTCTCCCGAGGATGGCTCGGGCAATTGCTGGGCTCACTTGATGCCAGTGGGCGACACTGGCAGAGGACATGCTTGCTACTAGCTGGGCTTGGGAAGCGAGCCTGTGAACTCACTTGCCCATTTTGTTCATAGTCATCTTATTCCTTGTTTTCAGGAGCTATTTTCGTTCTCGGAATGCCTTTTCTCAGGGCCTTCTACACCGTCTATGATGTGGAGGCCTGCATTGTTGTTCGTAAGGATCTGGCTTGCTTTATTTGTCCGCGACATATGTTTGCCGAGTTCATCTAAGTCTCGACCAGCTTGAGGCCAAAAGAATTGGCATAGCCAGAGCGAAGCATCAGTCACAGCAGGCGCCGGATTTTTTCTCTGAAAAAACCCCCTGATCCTTGGGCCTCGTCTCTCTCGTCACCATGGCAGTGCAGTGCAGGTCCTCCAGGACTCCGACTCCGACTCAGTGAGGCTCGTGTCCTTGCGGCCTGGGGGCACCGGCCTCGGGAAGGCCGGGAGGCCAAGCGCATGGGTGGTTGTGAAAATTAGGGTCCCTTTTCTGGGTCCTTATTATAATACGGCACCTATGATTTGGGGTACCCCAAAAGGGACCATAATTTTGACAACTACCCGCATGGACGACTGAAGAGTGCTGGCACAGTAGTGGCGATTCGGAGGCAATGAGAAGACTCTCCAACGATGAGATGCCAAGGATCAAGACCTAAAAGGGTTTTTTTCAGGTCGTGGACCAGCGATGACAATGCGAGGCAAGAACAAAAACCCTGATGCGGTGCTGCGCAACACTTCGGCTTGTTCGGTCAGCCTGTCCTGAAGACCATCTGACACGTGCCGTACTGGGTGGTCATGCAGCAGTTTCAGAGGACTGCATAGTGCCATGGGCCGCACTCCGAGCTGCCGTGGCGATGGATTATCAGACGAGGTTTCCCCTGCAAAGTGCCAGACACGTTCGAAAACTGTTGCCTGAAGGCCCTGGCGCTTAGGGCCCTGAAGCCTGTGAAGCGTCCTGCTGACTGGGGCGCCGAATTGCCGGAGGATAGCGAACCATGGCTGTTGACTGAAGTTTCACTTGTCAGACGTCAGACTCACGAGGATCCGATCCTGTGCTCACAAGCACCACCGGCCGTACTAACAGGCCGGGCCCAAGCAAGCTCAAGCTCCAAAAAGCATCCAAAAGCTCCATTCCGCCGCCCAGGCCTCGACAAGCCAAAGCCTCCAAACAGTGTGAGCGCGAAGGTTCGGCGAACAGCAAGCAAAGGCACCTGTCAGCTTGTTCTGGGAGAGACATAAATCATGCAAGAGGTCTGGAGAGTTGCCGCTGATGCCCGGAATAAAGGCAAGATGCAGCTGCAGCTCAAGTACCAGCAATCCTGTGTAGCAGATGTACGAAACGAGGCGGAGGTGCAAAGCGACCTCGGATGACAGCAAAAAGTCGCTCAGTGAAAAGCTTCTCTGACTCTCCCCCGGTGGCCGGAAGCTCGGAAAAAGAGATCCCGCAGCAGGTGCAACGGATGTCCCATAGAAGAGCTCGCCAGAGAGTCTAGCAGAAGATTGTTCCACTGTCGCTGCTTTCACGTTGCTAGGCTGCCATGGAATGGCTCTGCCTGTTCGACTTTATGGCCTGCTTGAGGGTGTTTCCCTTTTTTGTTCTCGAAAGTGCGCCGATGCGCGTGCCCTCCCACTAACTGCATGACATAGCTGATATGGCATGGGTTCCATTGCCGTCGCCGACTCAGACCTGGGAACATTCCTGCTGCAGCAAGCGGCAACTACATTCGGCTTTGAGCAATCCGAACATAACCGCCATAGAAGCAGACATCTTGATGGGTGTCATTGACGGTCCGAGTCCCGGCGGCTCCGAAATTGCCATTATGGCCCATCCACCTTCCAGAACATCCGACCTTTCCTTTCAAGCGTTCTTGGATTGTTGTGTCACGGACGCGAAACATCACATCAAGCTCGATTTCAAAGACCTGAGATCGTTGCAACTTTGCTTGCCACAGGTGGCTGCTGCAAGGTTGCATCTCCTTCAGAACGGTCAGGTCGTTTGGATCAATGCAGACATTTTACCAGGCCCGAATCGACGGTCTCAGATCTGCCCGGTTCCTGCAGCGGCCTTCTTTTCTGCCGTGCGGCAGCATTGTCCAGGAATTGCCTTGAGCCTCGGCTGGCGAGTGTCGAGAGCGTATGGAGATGCATACACTGGAGAAGACGTAAAAGCGATGTTGGAAGCCTGCAAAGGCTGTGTGGCCGACCACGGGTTCGTGTTTGCCGTGAATGCACGGCTTGCACTCCGCAATCCAGAACCACTCCTGGATTTGCTGAGCCGAAAGCCTGGGAGCCAGCTTCTTCTTTGGACCGGGACTGGAGAGCCACCCATTCCTGCCTGGACACGCGCTCAACTTGGTAGATGCTTCTCTGGGATGGAACATAGGGTTGGATATGACTGTCAGGTGGCATCGTCCTGTTTTTACGGCGTGGCCTGCGAGCTCAAAGAAGCATGCATAGCAACCCTGCAACTGCTTGTAGGGATCTTGGGGCTTGAGTGTTGAGTGACAGAGGACGCACCAGCGCAAGCAAGCTCATGCAAAGCCGGGCTGACAGGACTGGGTAGAGCCGTGCAAAGACCACGGGCCCCGACCTGAGAAAAGCTCGGGGCATAGTCCCGTAGCAGGATCAGCACGACGTCTGCCTGGGAGAAGAAAAAAGGGCCCGGGAAAAGCTGGAAGTGCGGCTGTCTGATTGCATTGCTCACTGGAGGCCTGCTCCGCTGTCAACTGTGTTGTTGCAGTGTCAGGTTGCGCACCACCTTGACATGCAAGCAGCTTTGAGCTCAGAAGATCCAAGCCAACCTTGGTCGCAAATATCACTCATTAAGTAAACTTCCTTCTGGACCCTGGAGGTCTCATGCAATGCCCTAGATGACGAAAGAAGCCATGAGCTCGGTGATTAACGCAGCTCAGTTTATCTTTGACGTCACGCGGCCATCGGGATTGGTGTCGGCAGGAGACGAACCCAGAGAGGGCCTCGAAGGGCCCAAAAAGCAGTGCCAGTGACCTGGGGCTCCATTCATGCCTCTATGCGTCATGTACATGGCGGTGCAAGTTTGGTGGGGCTGGATAATTACCGGGGCACATCCCTCGATACTTATACGACTAGGATTGAGAAGGTACAACATCTTGGCTGCTTTGGGCATTCCGCACAAAGGCCAGGACAGTTGGACCGAAGTGCAAGGACTGCCGATAGTTCAAGTGCGCGAGCAAACCATCACCTCGCCCATGACTGCCAGGAGCTAAACCACCCAAATTGCAGGAACAAGTTACTGCACCAAAGGCGAGAAAGAAGCAAGTCCGCTCGCTGCCTGGCTCTGTTTCAGAGCTGTGCAGCACCGATCAAGAAACTTCAAAAGCAAGCAAGTATGCCACTTTTACCACTGTGACATCTGCTCTTCTGCGCAGATACGTACGCTCCAGGAAGGGACAGCATCCAGCTCGGGATCTGCTCCGGCAGGTGCAGCTGCTGGGTAATGGTGGGTACTCGTGCAAAAACTCCTTCAAGGAATTCAAGAATCTCTGTGTCTTGCCAGTTTGCGCTGCTCGCACCTTCGCGCTCCAAGAGCAAGGATGCCGTGGAGGCGACGGTCCGACGGAGCGTGTCGTCTAGCAAAGCAAAGCAGCGGCGTCAGCTCTCCTCCTGTGGCTCCATAGCCACTTTTCACCATTGCTCTTTTGTGGCAACATTTCTTTCGCTGGCAGGGAACGGTGGAAGAGCGCACGGACAGTCACTCGGAGGCCAGTGGTTCTGCGAATTGATCCGAACCTGGCGCATGTCTTGTTTTTGCTGCATCGGTTTGTTTTTCGCAACCCCCTGTGAATTTGTATCGGAAGGAAGAACTACTTCAGACTGCCTTTCACACATGCTTCGTTCGGTAGACTTTCGTGCGACTGCTTGCAAACATAGACATGAAAGGTAGGACAAGCTGCCCAAAGTGATATGAAGGATAGTTCGCCCCAACATCAAGCATTCTGCGACGTCAAAGAGTGCACTGTGCCGTAAGGTGTAAATTGTAAATACCATAGACAGGCCGTCGGAAAACATGCCACATGGCAAAAGCCGTTGTCGATCTCACAGGCATCGGCAAACAAAAACCTGGAAAGGCAGTGGAACAGTCGTGGAAAGACTGGAAGGAACGGTCACCATTTGAGAACCAGAGTTGAACTGCAAACCACCACTCCGACCCCAAACACCTTACGGCATTCCGAGCAGAGCTGCACAGGAAGAATCCCACAAAGGCGAGCGACCACTGCCCTACTGTAATGCCCCGCTAGAACCGTCCCCCAGTGCCCCCCCGCCTCGGTCTCGGTAGCTTCGTCCGCGCAACAGTTGAGGGTTGAATTCTCGTTTCCCCGCGCCCGCGCCGCACTAGCCGGCGCCCACTAGAAAGGTTCGCGACACAACCTCGTTAGATTTCGTCTCCAAACACCCGAGAGCGCAGTATGTCCAAGCTTCTCCATGCAACATTGTTTGTGCTTTTTGCAGGCATTTATGCAGCTAAATACTTTCTCCAGACCTATATCCAGCAGTGAGTAAACTCAGGTCCACGCAATGTCTGCAAAACCTTGAATGGCTTCGCAAGAAAAAGTTCCAAACGGAGGCGACATTGAGTATAGATCTCTGCAGGAAGTGGCCTCCGCCCTCCATGGAAAAGCCTTTCAGGCCGGCTGCTCATCTTGTCATGCATTGCCTCACACTATTGGCAACATCACGCAGGAGTTCAATTCGTTATACACGTCGGCTAGGCTAGGAAAAAAAGACCAGTGGATTGAACGTCCCAGGGCCATTCAAAGCAGAGAAACGTAGAGTGTCTGAGTGTCGTCCATGCACCGGAGGTGCGGCTGAAGACAATATCCGGCAATGTGAAAGTTGCCTTCAGTGGTGCTGCCGCTCGAGCATTCTATCGAAGATCTTGCCTCAGAGGCTTAGACTTAGATTCACTAGGGCCCTTTCCCAAGATGTCAATGTGTCAATTCTCGCCTCTTGCTTTGTTGAGGTCTGGGTTTACAGCGAGGTGGCCGAGTACGCCTTCAAGGCTTCACCTCCACGCGTGAAAACGACGTGGAGGCTTGGCCATGGCGAGGAGCAAATCTTGTCCTCCAGTCGTAGAGACGGACACTCAGGTGCTGCGCTTCAAAGATGTTCACCCTGGCGTGAGCATCAAAGTAGTGGCCACAGCTGCAATGCCTAGATCTCGGTGACAGCAATGTCGACACTACTCTTGAAAGATCCCCTCTTTTTGCTTCGTCACGCTACTTCAGGTCACTGGAGGGCGAAGAAGTCCTGCATTTGCAGGACTTGGAGGGGCACCTGGCCAAGGCAGGACTACTGCTGCAACGCAACGTGAACTTCGTCTATGGACACTTCTTCAGCGCCCTTGGCAGTCAGTCGGGATGGCTCAGGTGAAAAGAGGTGAAGCGAAAGCAGTTGTTTCGGTGCAGGCCAGCATGGCAGCGGGTCCGCAAGGGCCGACAGTGACGGGACCCGAGGCGTTGGCCGGACGCGTTGGGAAGCTGGAGCGGCAAGAGCCGCATGCCCAGGAAGTCCAGGACTCTGGCGTCAGGGCCGTGAGAGCCTCAACGAAGGCTAGCCCTTCAGCCTGGCGAATTTGTTCCCACCCGGACAATCCAGTCCACCTCTCAGACTTCGTCCCGCTCCGTCGTGCTGGTCCCGCCCTGCTCATGGCATTTCATGTGGCTCGCAAGGCTCCAATGCCCATCATCGAATCTGGCCTGTGCGTGGCGCCTATGGGATGCACAGGCATTGGCCGTCCATGACTTGAGCAGGGCTCCGAAGTTCGGCGAAATCTCGAAACATGTCAGGCAGAAAAGTTTGGAGCAGAACTACAAGGAAGCACGATTCATCCATCTTACTTGGTTGGGGTCGTTCATGGTGATAGGGATCTCTTTCAATATCCATTACAGTAGCCTTCCGGCCACTTGCCAGGCCAGCAGCTCGTGATCAACGGAGCCCGTCTTCGTGAAGCGCGTGGGGAGGCGGAACTGACGGGCTGTGCCGGCTCCTCAGACGAGACGAGAAACTCGCATGGAAACCTGCCCAAAGGCGAGTTTGGTATCACGGTGCGGTGCCGCAGTTCACAGGTCAGCCTCGATGTCAAAGGCAGCAGGCCCCTTTTGCGCATGCACTTCCGGCATTCACGAATGGCACAGATTCAATGGGTGATGGCTACCTGTGTTCGGTAGTCGCAAGGACTTCGACTTCCATTCTGAGTACGGGGTAGAGCGAACAAAATGTCGTGGCTGCGCCAGCTTGGTATGTACAGCGTGCCGTCCAGCAACAGCATCGAAGCTCAGAACACAAGAGCACCAGACCCGAGTCCTTAGTCCCTAACCCCGTGCCATAATTGAGTGGGGTTCGGCGGAAACCTTCTTGCGCGAAGTGCTCGATGGTTCCAAGAACACCCCATGCACAATTAATTCGTCAGCATTGACCAGCGATGCCGTGGCTCATCAGGTTGATGCCAACTACGTGTGATCAGGTGTTTGCATGGCTTTGCTTTATCAGGGGTCGCTGCTGACTATGTCCTCTGACTGGGGCCATTGCAGGCGCCTTTTCTCAGCGGACACAGGGAACCCTCGGGAATCCAGGGAGAGTGAGATTCCTCGGGATAGAAAGCCTGACATGGTGTGAAAAGAATGCTGGATCTGGTGTTTGGCATTCCCAAGTTTGTGAATCGGCTAGTTTCTGACAGGAGAGTTTCAGTTTCGGCAGAGTCAAGTTGTTAAATTGACATCTTCCGACCCGACACAATCCTGTAGCTTTCAGCATGAAATTTTGGACCTATGCACGGGAAAGCAAAAACCGATACCTAAAAGCTGCAGCATGGGCTCGGCCGTATGGGCTTTTTCAGCGCGGAGTATGCGCAAGTCACACTAGCCGTGGTCGGAAGATAGCTGAAGCACCGTTGGCCTGTGGTTTCGGTACATCCGAAGCAATTACTCGAAATCAATCTCTTGCGCCAAGCAGGCTGGCTGATTGATCACGACTCAGGCGAACAGGTTTTTAGGTTAGAAGCACTTCACCCATGGGGTTGCTTGTACATGGGGACGAGCTGTTGCCGTTCTACACTTCCGTCGCAGTTTCAGGAATCAGCAGGAGATGCCATCGCCACACAAATTTCCCGCCATGCATGCTGGACCAGTCCACAGCACTTTCAGATTTAGGTATTTAAAGAGAACATCAGATGAATGCTCTTTTCAAATCAAGTCGCGTAGGGTCAGCTAGTTCGGAGTCATGCTTCGCATTGACACTGGCATCTGAGACAAAGACTTCTTCGCAATTAGTGCTTTTGCGGAGCGGGCTATCGGCACGTGCCCTCGTAGGTGCAGCAAGTACCTCAATGAATGTGATGCAGCAACATGGAGCAATCCGGAGGAAACACAAAAATCATGAGCTGTACTCGTGTTGAAGAGAATTCTACTTCTACGGTACTTCTACGAGCCACAAGAACGATGTGCTGAGGCGATGGGAGGCTCATCTTCTGCAGCAAGGTCTGCAAGCTTTCAGGAGGCAAGACAGCGCTTCAAGCTGGGCAGTACCAACATCACATCTGGTTTGAGCAGTGCATACTTGTGAGACTGAAACACAGTCCAGGCTGGACTTCGGAGCTTTGCACTCAGCGCGGCTCAAACTTCAAACTTCGACAGTGAACGTCTGCAAACGCTGAAAGCTTAGATACTGGAAGTGATGCAGCTGCTGCCGCCAGAAGAAGACAGGACCTTCACAGAATGCCACGGCCCAGCGGTAACGGCGTGCCTAAGTGTAGGTAATGCTGATGGAGGCAAGCGTCCATGCTCCCTTGCAATGTCAGAATTTATGGAAATGGCCTTCATCGCAGCTGTAACCACAAGCCCAGGTTTTGATGTGTTGCTACGATGACATTTCCCACCGCTTTCAGCACGTCTTCGAGCCGATCGCGCCAGGAGCAAGAAGACGAAGCCATGGCGCGAAGAATGATGCTGGAGGACACAGTGTGCGCGGGAAGCCAAATAAGAATCTATGATAACGGTTTGGGATTCGGAGTCGCGGAATCCGAACACGTCGTCACCGCCCGGGGTGATAAATGTTCCAATAAAGGCTTTCCGCTGTCAATAGGCGAGGGCCCTGCCTGAGGGACGATGAGATGCCGGAGCCGAGCCGGTGAAAGTGTGCTTGAGTCAGGAGATGGCCTCTTTCGGATTGGCAGGTGCAGTTTTGGGTGCAGACAGATCGACATGCCCTCGTTGCACAATCAGACCGGTCGGCCACCGCTGGCTGGGTGACTGCAGTAATAGAGCAACCATCATATCGGATAAGGCACTTTAATGTCTCCGTCGTCGGAGTCTCTGGCAGGTGTTCATAATGAACCGGCTGCGTTTGCTGGTTGTGGTTTCTGAGCGAAATGTCGAAACAACCACACAACATGCGATTAGGGCTTTGCAGGTCCATCAAGCTCCAGTTCAAGCTCCTCGCGCCGGCTCATACCTGACACTTCGGCAACCCAGCTGCGGTGTCATAATGTACATCCAAGACTCGACCATCCCCCACGGTACTAAAACATGTCGCGGCCCGGCCAAGTTGCGAACCCAGGCGATCACTTTGCGTGCGGTTTGTCCTGCTTGTGGTGAAGCTCAGCAGTCACGGACTCGGACGCACAACATGAGCAACACAAGATGATCCAGGATCGACGCCTTGGATCAGCCTAGGTTTCGACCACCCCCTCATAGCACAGGAGTTTTGTCCATTCGATGCAATCGCTGCCGCGACCTCTGTCTAGAGCTTCAAGCGGGTGTGACTCCGGGCGTCCGCCAGTGCAGGCCACGAGCAGTTCCAGGCACCGCTGCACATGATATGGAGAGCAAGCGAGAGAGAGATCGAGAGAGGGAGAGACTAGCACCGGGCCAGCTCTCGTGGTATGGCTTCAGTGTTGATTGTAGACGCTTCCCGTCGTCCGCCTCGGCCCGCCCACAGCTGGAGAGTAGTCGTGGCAGGGATGAATCATCGGCAGAGGCGCAAACACTGACACAGAAAGTCATGAAAAGACGGAAGCAAGGGTGCTGGCGCACGGGAGAGCCGGGCGGCTTGGGCCGAGGGTCGGGAGGGGTCAAAGCATGAAAGGCTAATGAGCCCCATTTATAAATGGAAAGGTGCGTGTGACCCCTCTAAGTAAAGGGGTGGAGTCTCTGTGGGGACATCTGACCGCTTCGGCCGGGGCCCAGGCTGATTGTTCGCACCCGTCATAGTGTCATGGGATGCACGCGATTGAAGCGTTAAACTATGGCTCAGTAGCATGGCCAGACATCGATGCTGACATGGACAGGCATCTATTCCTCAACAGCTTGAAGCTCAGTTGAGGGATTCTCCTGCCCAAGCGGAGAGCCGCTTCGACTTTTGTTGGAAGTCACCGGGCGAACAGACTGGAAGTGCAAATGATTTTGTGGAGCCACATTCGGGCGCCACAGTTCCGAGATATCCTTCTCTTCTGACACTGTGAGAGCCTCAAAGGCCTAGAGTTCTTCTTGTAAAGATCATCGAAGAAGTTGGCTTCGCTTGGTCATTTGGTGGATTTTGGAGGGTGCCAAGCCTAGGAATCACCCAAAACTCTCGAAGCGAAATACAGCCCATGCTTAACGATCACTCCAGCTAGAGAACTGTGCAGACATGCCTCGGCCCCATGAATTCTTCCACTCAGGGCCGCAGGTGAGAATGGATTGTTGCGGGAACGCCCGGCTTTGCAATTCTGCCGACGCTGTGGCGAGGACCTCAGGATGAATTGGCAGACTGTCTTGCTTGGATTTTAGCGCTTCTCTCCAGACTCGATACCCACACAGTGTGAGACCCGACAAAAGCGTCTCTTCACGCAGCCCGTGTGTCGTCTATCTTGCAGAGGCACCCTGAACACTTTCCCGGCCTCAGCAACCGGCCAGCCGCACAGAGTCAGCTGCGGAAACTGCGGCAACGTCACAGAGGCTGCGGCTTCGAGATTTGTTATGTTTTGACATGCTTAGAGAGAGTCACTGCCATGTTGCCCTGCAGCCCTTGCAGTTTGAACCACGGCGCGCGAGAGGCATGCCCGCAAGATCCAGCCAGCAACAGTGCAGTGCAGACACGTGTGGATGGAGCAGGTGCGCTGGGTGGTGCACAACGAAGCGAGGGCCAGCGAGCACTGCTAGAAGCGCCGCGTGCTAAGACTCTTGGAGTGACGTTGCATTTCCGTTTGTCGTCACATGTTTACGACAGCTCTGGTAAGAATAAGGATTTTCAACGACCGTCAGCTTATGCAAAGCATGAATGGTCCAGTGGGTGCGAGCCTGACGGGCAGCCGTAGACGAGAAGCTTCTCTTCTGTTGTACCAGCTGCTGTGCTGCAGTCCGCATTCCAATGGATGGCCAGCGGCAAGCTATCCCATTGGTAGCACAGCCTCACTTACGACCACAGCATAAAAGAGAATTGCACTCGTCAGCAGGCTCCCAAACGTTCTGCCTTGTGCAGCATGCATGGCAGGCACTGCTTGCTGCGCTGATGGCTGCAGCAGATGTTGCCTGTCAGCAATTTCGCCGAAGATACTTGACAGGACTGGATAAAGAAACTACTAACTACTCATTTTGTGTCAGGGGGCTCCCCTTCTCAAGTATGCAGCTGTCCACCGAATCTCCCGGTATGCGCAGGAAACAAGAAAGGTGTCCCCTCAGCTTCCTAACTTGGTGGTGTTGGGCCGGGTAGGCCACAATCAAGTGTCCCACATTTCTCTCGTTTCCTCCCCGAGAAGAGGCTATCGGCTATCAGTCATCTGGCCCTTCGGTTTCATGTGTTTCTGAAAGTCTTTGGTTATATTCGACCGGTGCCGTTTCCATTCCTGGAAACGCCTGCAGGCTTGCAAAGCCTCTCGAATCAGTGCAGGGTCGAGAATTTGGGATGCTAAGATCTCCCAAGGCAGAGAAGTCCAACCCAGCCAGACGAGCCTTGGCTGCAGTCTTCACAGAGCAGATTTTTGGACTCCTCGCCGACTCCTCGCCCAATATGTCTCCTGGCAGGTACAGATGTTGCTTTGTTGCCCACGTCCTCGCCTTAACCGACGCATAGGCTCTCTCTCACCCAAGTCTAGAGCTCTCTAGTCCAATGGAGTCCCATGTCATCGAGGCGCAAATTGGAGAATTTGGATCATCTTGGCGACCAGACCAAGTCCGCATCTCACTTTTCTGGTCTAAAGTGCCTCCATGAACGTTTGCCAGTGTCGAGGCTCAAGGCCTTGCGATTTAAGTTCCACAAGAAGATACAAGAAGCACGATTGGTGAACTTTAGTTTTCAGCAACTCCCAGTGTTTGTAGCAAACGATGGAAGTTTGAAGTGCATCTCAAGGCTTTTGGGGCACCGCCTGGGCTTGACCACAAACTAAGGTGTTGGACTCATGTGTCAGTGTCATGTGGCCAAAAGTCAAACTTTGATGCTAGACTAGGTCATGCTACGTCACCCGTCTTGATCGTAATTTGAACCTGGCAGGTGCCTGGTTTGCCTGGAAGAGTTTGCAGATGGAGATGAGGTAAAGACGTGCCTTGGCTCCATTTAGTCTCGTCTCAACAACCCTCACACAGTGGACACACATTTTATTGTGGCGACAATAAGGCTGCCATGCCTGCATTTCTACCATCAGAGGCCGGCAAGATCAAGGCCTGATGGCCTGATTGTGACCCGACTTCGGGTCTTTCTGGCAGGTGTGTCGATCAATGGCTTGCCACGGACAACTCTTGTCCGGTATGCACGGGGCCGAGATCATGGCATCTGGCTTTGGCTTGATCTGACACATGTCAGGCAAGACCCCGATCGACCAACCGGAAGATCCTCCGTCCTGATCCAAATGCTACACCTACCGCTGCGATCATTGAGCAAAAAATGGAGCGACTCTCTCGACCAGGCAGGGATTTGGACAGTAGCCTGCATCCGTGCACATGTTTAAGTATTCTCGAAACAAGAACTTTGGCGTTTGCATTCTTGAAGCTTCTCTGCAAGAAGCAGCAGAGAGCTTAACATTCGCGCTCTCGGTGTAAATATACGACAGAGAAGTCTGTGAAATATTTATTCATATAGAAGTCCTTTAAAAAGAAACTAATAATTACGAACATGGTGGAATTTGGAGAAATAATTCACCCAATTGATGATGAATTTGAAACTAGAGAATAAAAAGATTTCGCGAAACAAAAACTGACTTAGGATTTGGCTTGGAACCGAAACTACTATATTATCTCTTTATTCTTGCAAATATAGCTTGGATTTTTCTTATTTATATCTGTATTTATATTAAATTTATTTATATTTTTTCTTAATGAATCTTGATTGAATTCGATTAAAAGAAATCTAGAATAAAGAAAGAGCTTTTTAAAAAAATTATAGGACTTTCCGAAAATAGAGGATTCTAATATAGGACCTTAAATAATAAGATTATTATTAATAGCTTAGTTTTGAAATTCTTATATCCGAAGTTCTACAAAAATTAAAATTTTAATAAAGATTTATATAATAAGATTCGAAAGTAAATATTCTTAGATCTAATTGATAGGGTTTCGATATTATATGCGGAAAGGAATATATTTTTTGTCGAAAATTTAAGATAAAAATTCTTTTGGCATTATTGAAATTAAAATATGAATTATTTTATTTTTAGATATTAGTATTTAGTATTACAAATTAAATCGAAAAGCAAGTTAAATATATTATATAAATTATTTATTTAACAAAAATTCTCGTTATTTTCTATTATACTATAATTTCAATTTATATTTTAATGGATATATAAAATTAGAGAATATATCGATATATAATTGAAAATACTGAATAATATGAATAAATATTTTTTTTACTTTATAGATAAAAAAAAATATTTTATTATTCTGGAGAGATTATTTTAGCTTTATCCCCGAAGAAGAATGAGGAACGGTTCTTTTATTTATTCTTTTCGCTTGACCTTTTTCCCCCTTTTTCGCTTTCTCTTTTCTCTTCTTTCACGCATTCATTTCACTACTTTGTAAAGAAGGAAAAGGAGAAAGGGAAAAAGAATAAGAACGAGGATGTAGTGAATGAAGTGAACGGTGAAGAGAACGAATGAACAAACCAAAATATAAAAAGAATGCGTTCGTTCGTCTCTCACTCGTCTCTTTATGAACAACTTACACGGTCCTGATTTCGTTCGTCCTTTGTTGTCTTTATTTTCCTTTTATTCTCGCTTCGCCTTCCGTTCNNTCCTCCTTTGCTACATTGAAATAAAAGTAAAACAAAGTAAACAAAGCACTCTCTTCATATTTAGGTGATCTGGGATGTGGCTTTATTCATGCTTCCTTGGTTTAAATAAATGGAGTCTTTGTTCTAATTCAATATAAAAGCAAGGAAGATAGGAACCGCAAAGCCAAGATGCCAATTTCCACCCGCCTCCTACCAACATTCTTTCTTTGCCTTATCTTCTTTATTTTCTTTGCTCATTTCTTCGCCTTTTAATTCCCCAACAGCGGATACGC